ACTTTTACCAATCAGCACTCAGGAACTGCAGGGATGTCAGCCTAAGCAATGCCCTCTTAACCGTATTGCTGCAAAACCAAATTTAAACAGCTTTAGGAAAGGTCATAGCAAAGCAATCTGACCTGGAAAAAAGTTTTTAGACAGACCAACTTCTGTGTAATTCATTGATTATCCTTTTCATTTGTCCTTGTGTGTTCTTCCATTTAAGGGAAAAAGCATTTTCAATACCAGTATGCACAAACTGCAGGCATCTCTGCATTTGTAACACATTTAAGAATCACAAAACAAATTATCAACTACGTTACAAAGATTATCATCAGTTTTCTGAAGTATCTGGACGCACATGGAGAAGTGTGCCCTGACTATCATGCAGAAAACATCAATTTCTTCAGTTTATTATATAGCAAAATGGCTTTGAAAAGCTTATGCTGAAGCCTGGAAGAATGTAATTTTGTACATGGTAAAACCAGAAAAACAAAAGCATTACTGCAAGAGCTGAGGCCAACAGCCCCCATGGTATTCCTATGTCTAAACAGTTTTATAGATCTCACCCCCACACAACCAATTCAGGACATGGTAATGACAGAAGGTAACAAAAGAAGATTGACATTAAGAAGACAAATGAACGAGTTGTTATGCGGGGGAGGTTATAGTAAACAGCATAATTACCTATACATGCTTTCTCACCCTAAAGGAAGAGCTGCCAGATCTAAGTGGAGCTAACATTTTGCTTGTGATCCACTTTAAGACAGCAGGAGTAAAACAACATGCCAAGAAAGAATAGGCAGAGGTATTTGTGGCTCTTCAGCAACCTAGTTCAAAGTCAGAGAATTAAAACCTCTATGTTCTGAACAAAAAAAAAAAAAACCAAAACAAACCCAAAAAACCAAAAACACACTACCAAGATCCCAATCACTCCAAAGGACTTTCTCAGTCCTAAAGAGCCTTCCTGGCATGAGTTGTCACAGGGAACAACTCCACACAGCACAGGCACTCTGGCTTCCTGCCGTTGTGGTGGGAACCCAGACTCATGGAGCTAAGTCCCCTACCATGTGGGCAGCAGGATGACACCTGACATGGCACTGAGCCCACCCTCCCATCCAGCCACTGCTCCACACCACCTCACTGCTCCTGCCCTGCCTACAGGGCAGGCAGCAGCAAGAATGAATGCTCACTGGTGACATACTTTTCACACGAGGTCCAAGAGGGTCAGAGGGGACAATAGTACACAGAGGCATGACACTTTTAACAGGGCACTGTAGGCAACTGCAGTTTCTCTCCCGGAATTTTTTCTCAAGTGGGATACAGACAGCATTAACTGGGAGATTTGCTTTGTCTGCCACCGAGTAAGGGTTGCTGAGATCACCAGAAGAAGGCAGAAGACAAGTATTTTAACCTTGTGCTTTGTCTGGGTGTCTTTTTTTCGAGCTCAGCAGAAACAGAAGCTTTTGATGTTGCAATGTTTACTGCCCCAAAAATGAGGAAGGTAAAGGAATGAGGTCAGCTCAGTATTTGAGAGAATTTAACCAATTAGCAACTGAATATCCCTTACAAGGAACATGCTTGTAAAGGGGCCGCTCTGGATCATTTAGCTCTGGGGTCTCCATCTGTGGCTGCTGGACTTGAGCAGTTCAGCTTGATATCCTAAAATGTCGCCAATTCCACCATTATTCCCAAAAATCTGAATCTTCAAAGATATTTTCAAAAATCTGCTCCTAGCAAGTTGCAAAAGAAAGTGCAATTAAAGGAACTGTCCAGAGGCCTGATGGACCTACGGTACTATTTGAAAAATTTTTTGTTCTGTTAACTTATCTTCTCTAAGTAAATTCCTTTTATAAACAACACAAAATGAAAGTCAGGGAAAGAAGAGATTAGACTAGAGAATTCAAAATATTTTATTTCAATTCTGGCTGTACTAAAGACAAAGAATGCAACAAGAAGAATTCATGCTGAGACATTTAAGAACAACATCAACTTACTAAAAATACTGCAATAAGTAAATCCAGAGACTGGTCAGACAGCACATAAACTAAGTATTATTAACGATGCTATATTTAAGTACCAAATATGCATGAGTTTTAATCAAAGATAGTCCATCTGATCAGCTGTTCCTAAGTAAAAGGCACTAACTCACAAAGTGCATCTGTTTTTTAAAAGGCAGCATGAGGCACAGAGACCACCAGGCAGACCTTTGCCAGCTTGCAAGACAAAGCCACATTGCATATTCATTTCACTACTGCTCTCCCTGGCTGCATTTTAATGCTAAAATACAGGAGACTTAAGACATAACACATGACAAATTCATGTAGCCACTTACGAATAAAAAACACAAAGAAAAGCTTCCAGCTGAATTTCTGCACAAAGTTCAGTAAAGTAAACCAAAATTCTGGCATCTCTTTTAGTGCTCTTGACCTGTATCAGCTGGCAACAGCATTCCTGAGGGCAAATACATGCTTAAATTCAGCAAACTCAGCACAGTGGTCCTTTTCATTTGCTGCTAAGTTCACATAAAGCTGGGAAGGGATCTCCACCCAGCTGACCCCAGCTATCTCCAGGTACCACAAGTTTCAGGTAAAATCTTCCCTCTGTGGTGTGCAAGAACAGCTACCTGCAGCCAGAGTACATGTGTTGGCTACTTGCTGCTCTGAAAGCAGACTATGTTTAGTGCATCACAAATACATGAATACTTATATTAAAAACTCCAGCTTTTATTGCTAAACAGCACCAGACGATAACATGTGCCACAGGTTGACTCTCCCCGACACAGCTTCAGCTGCTGTTGGCAGCGGTGAGCCTGCACCAGGACTTATCTCTAGCTATGGAGTATTTTAACAGCAGAGGAAAATCTCTGGCTTGTGACTGCACGAAAGGAGTGAGAAGATCTTAAGAGCGAAATACATCGCAAAATTCCTCAGCGTTATTCACAAGTTCTTGTTTAAACCAAACAAATCCCCTCCCTCTATGCTAGCAGCTTAATACTGATGCAGCACACCGTTAGCCCGCATCTACAAAACTTCACAGCCGCAAACCCTCTACCCAGCCGGGGCCACCGACGATAATTTCAGCCGGCGGTTCACAGCAGGCCCGCGGCTGCCAGGTCCTGGCAGAGAGCTGCTCTGGCAGAGATAACCTCACCCTGGCCCAAAACTCCGGCGAAAGGCTGTGCCGCCAAGAGGGACGCCTGCACGCTCATCCTCCTCTAGTTTCAGCTGCAGGGCGTGTTTCCATTTGCACAGAGCGGTTTTAGAGACTTCCTGATAGGAAGCATCCCAACTGCAGCCATGCCCCTGCCTTGTTTTCCCTCGCCATCGCTAGGAGACGGCTGAACTCTTTGCTGGAGTTTTCTCTCACAGCCACGAGAACTCGGCCATGGCACTGAATCCCACAGCACCAGAGAACACCCGAAGCACTGAGAATACAAACGAGCCGTGGGGGCACTGCCGTTCAGCGGAGCGGGCAGTGCACCCAGCCGCCGGAGGGAGAAACGCCTCCTGTCGTCTGCCAGGAGCCCTCCTTGCTGAGCAGGCCAAGGTGCTACTGCTCCTGCCCAGTCTGCAAAACTGACCTTTCGTCTGCAGACTCACAGCACAGATCGATACCGGAAAGCTCTCTGGAGTGGGATCCTCAGATGCTGCATCCCTGGGAATCAGGGAAAAGGAATGAGGGCAGAAAAGCAACAAACGCAGGCAGAGAAGGAGAAAAGACACTGCCCAAGACAATACCTCACACAACCCCAGGCACTGCTTCTAATGCTGTTGGTGCCCGAGGGCTTCCAGGACATGAAAAGATAAAAGCAAAGTCGTAAAGTTTTTAAGAAAGTCCCTGCACAGGCATCTGACACACTGACACATTTCTGTCGTCTGCCCTTCCTTTTCCGCTCATTTCCTAAGGCACTTGCTCTTTTAACAGCTAGGTTTAAAACGAGCGGGCCTCTTTCAGAAGCGCTGCACATCTCCAGGGCGCTGGTTTAACGCGGCCTCTGCCCTGTCCCACACACAGACCACGAACTACCGTGCCAGCAGCTCCAGCTCTAAAACAGTACGGCGGTCAGGGGCGCTGGGCAGGAGCTCAGGGAAGGAGGAGAAGTAGCAGCCTTCCCTTCCGAGGCCGACGAGCCCTTCCGCTGACACCGTGCCTCTCCTCCGGGCTGCTCCCCCGGCGGGCAGCCGCCGCCTCAGCGGGGTTGGCGGGATGCACACCCCACACACCCGTCGCGGCGGAGAAAGACGGATCAGGGCTTTTGTCTGGAGCCGCGGCAGCGCTCAGCTCTCCGCGAGCTCCCGGGAAGGCAGCTACGGCCGAGGACGGGGGCTGAGGTGCGGGCTCTCCTCCCTTCCTGCCCCTGTTATTTCACCCCACCCCGTGCCCCGCACGGCGGAAAGCGCTGCCGCCGCCGCCCGGGATGCAGTATCCATGGCAATGCGGGATTGCATCATGCTCTTGACTAAACTGCACCGGGGAAAAGACGCTCCCGGCGAGAGCCCCGTCCCTTCCGCCGCCCCGTCCCCTCCCTATCCCAGCCGGCCTGCCCGCCGCTGCCGGCCCCGTCTCCGGCCGCAACCCCGCCGAGCACCAAGCCCCCCGCTCCGCTCCGCGCACGGCCGGCGCTGCCGCCGCACTTGTTGCGCGCCCCGCGGAGCGGCGACCCCCGCCCGCCGTGGCCCCTGCCCCCCCCGTCCTCCGCATCTCACTCCGGGCCCGGGCGGCCGTGCCGCATCCCGTCTCCGGGCGGGGAGCCCCGGCGCTGCGGTCCCTCCCGGCCGGGGACGCGGCCCTACCTGCCGGCGGCGGCGGCGCTGGGGGCGGCGGGCGGCACCGGCCGGTCTGTCCCGCTGCGAGCCGCGGGGGCGGGGCCGAGGGGCGGGCGCGGGGCGGCGGGCCCCGCCCTCCCGCCGGCCGTGGGCTGACGGTGACGTCAGAGTGGTGCGGGGGGCTCACGGGCGGCGGCGGAGGGGCGCTATGACGTCACGGCGGCAGAGAGCCAATGGGACGGCGGGGGCGGCTCGGGAGCGGCTCGTGCCGCGCGGCGCTCGCGTGCAGCAGGTCCCGGGCGGGAAGGGAGCGCGAGCGCTGCCGGCCCTGAGGGCTCGCAGCGGGCCTTGGCTGAGGGGGCCTCTGGAAAACAATATGGGACCGTGTAATTAAAGACGCTCATAATGAGGTGAGCCGCGAGCCTACATTAAAGGTCGCGGGCAGTTGTAGTTGATGTTTCCTGTGTTTTGAAGTAACGGGCTTTGCACCCTGACTGCATTTTTGAATGTAATCGCTGGCTGCAATTAAGTAGATAGTATTTTTTACTCAGTCATATAATAAAAACGCTGGTTTTGTTGTGTAATTTACATGCATATGCTGAGCTGGTCCCCACAGTGTCAGATGTCTGAGGAAGGAATCTCAAAGCATCTTCTTTGGCTCCTTTCCAATGGCAGGGATGCTCAACAGAGGAAGAAAAGTTCGGTCCATGCTCTCCAGACACCTCATTACCTCCCCAAGGTCCTAACGGGGCAATAGTGAAGGTGCCTTGATGTTCGTATGGCCAACGGGAAGAAACAAGGTTGTTTCTTTCCCTCCCTTATGTATTCCCTTGTGATGGAAGATGACCTTTTAATGTTTTCCCCCTCTGTAAGAGTTTGTTCCGTCTCTTTGTTAATTAAATGAAAATGCTACATAAATAAAGAGCAGCTTTGCTTTGCAAAGGAGAGGAGTCAAGCAGCAATTTGCATGGGGTTTATTCAAGATCAAGTATCTCCATTCTATGGGAAGCAGCAATTACCACATTTGGTCACCACAATATAAAAAGGACATCAAGCTATTTGAGAGCATGAAAAGGCGGATGTGAAGGGCCTTGCGGGGAAGCCATATGAGGAGCGGCTGAGGTCACTTGGTCTGTTCAGCCTGGAGGAGACTGAGAGGAGACCTCACTGTGCTTTTCAACATTGTCATGAGGGATAGTGGTGGAGCAGGCACTGATCTCTTCACTCTTGTGACCAGAGGCAGAACTTGAGGAAATGTCATGGAGCTGAGGCGGGAAGTTTAGGTTGGATATCAGAAAAAGGATCTTCACCCCAGAGGGCAGTTGTGCACTGGAACAGCTCCCCAGGGCAGTGGTCACAGCACCAAACCTGACAGTTCAAGAAGCATTTGGACAGTGTTCTCGGGCACATGGTGTGGCTCTTGGGGTGCCGTATGCAGGGTCAGGAGTTGGACTCGGTGATCCTGGGGAGGCCCTCTGACCCAGGATATACTATGATTCTATGATTCTATCAGTACAATAATGCAGAGTTTTTCCCAGTGGGATCAGAAATAATGTTCCTTAAACTCTTTCTGGGATAAGACAAAATCTCTCACTAAAGTAAGCATTGAGACTATGCCAAAGAGGGTGCTTTGAGATTCCTTCCGCTTATTTCTTTTATTAGAGTAAGATGTTAGAAATGCTATTTTGTTGCTGTTGAAGGGTTTTTTTTTTGCTCTTTTTTGTTTTAAAGCTCAAATCTTTATTTTCCTGAAGGACCAAACCCTTGTCTATGTGTTTTAACACTTTGGATAAAAACCCCAAACCCTACAAAAACCAGCACAATTGTCAGGTGAGTGTGCCTTTTTGAAGACCCCTGGGCCAAGTTTGTGTTTTGGATGTTTCTGAGGCATCCCTTCCTATTTGTGAGAAGTCAAGCTGTCTTAATTGTATAAGGCACAAGTCCCATTTTTTTCTCACTGGAGCCAAAATGTGCTGAGCTCACTGAAACTTGACCAGCATTAGGTCTTTTCACATCTTCCACGCTTTATTTAAAGCACTTTTCAGTGTGCTTTAAATAAAATTCCTTCCCAAGAGGCATACACATTTGTTTTCATGGTTTATTGATGAGAGATGATTACACCGAGTGTTAACTTTCACAGCCAAAACAGCTTTCTAAATCTGGAAGGTGCTTAAATAATTAAGACTCAATCTGGCTGTTTAAAAATAAAAAATAAGAACTTGAGATGCAGAAAGGGATGGAGTTGGGCCTAGAGAGTGTAACTGGGCATTGAGCAGCACCCTGTGCAGGAAAGGGATGTGCTAATTCCTGGTCCCCACAGGCAGGGAAGTGTGCCCCAGACCCACCAGAGGCTGGCATGTACCTGCTGTGCCTCCCTTCACTGTGGAGCTTGCCTTTCTTGTTTGGTGGTGGGGTTTTATTGGGACTGTGTATGCCCAGGATGCCAAGTAAGTGGCACTGGAGAGGGATGAGACAACAGCTGATGGAGGAAGCAATGAGGCTGAGGGGCGAGATTTTGGTTTTGCCAGCCCAGCTCTAGTGCAAGATTCCCAGAGTGCCAGCTGGTCTGCTGGTTCATCCCTCTCCAGGTCTCTCCAAAGTGCTCATGCTGTTACCAGTCAGAGAACAAGAGCAATGTTCCAGCATGGGAAATGTCATTTCAGAATTACCCATTTGGGAAAACTAAGCAAACAATGCCAAATCTTTTGGCACTAATGGTTGGCATTTAATAGAGGTAGGAGCTGGCCAGTGTCATTCTGAGCTGCAGGTGTACTGAGTCCCAGCATCACCCTCATCTTCTTGGAGCATTTGCAGGTTTGTCAGAAGTGAGGACATTACCATTGATCTCTCCACTGATCACTGATGAAATTGCTGCTGGTATGTTTGCTCAGGAAGGGCTTCTGGGTTTAAAGAAGGGCAAATTAAAAATTATTCAGGATTTAGACAGAAGGATTGCTAGGGCTTATGTAAAATAAGTTACACCTTGCATATAATTTTAACCTGTATCTCATTGTATTGTACTCCTGCCTTTTGAGAGAGAAGAGGCAGAATCTGAGCACAGTGGAAAGCCAAGTCCGAGGTGACCCAGCCTAGGCAGCAGCAGCAGAGGTGACAAAGAGGCCTCAGCAGATAGAGCTATCCTCAATCAATGGTACACAAAGGGAAGATGTTAAATAGATACTAGTGTTTGACAGTCTGGGTAGGAGGAGAACAGCTGGAGCATTCGAAAGTAGAGTGAAGTCAGTGAGAGCTGCAGTGCTGAGAGGACAAAAGAGCTTGGAATGGAAGGCCCACCTGCATGGTGTTTGAAATTAGCCTGGAAAAAGGGCTAGAAGTGTGTGTTCCAGGGAAACAAGCCCAAATGGTATTCTTTTGGGGAGTGAGTTACCAAATCTGTCTTCTTTTTAAAAAAAAAGATTGTTAGAAATCCTAGCTATGCCTATGTAGTAGTGATTCATCATCTACACTGTAATGAATAGGTCCTTGTTTTGATTAGAAACAAATTAATCCAGATTTTCCAAAAGTAAATTAACAAATTGATTAGAATAAATAGCCATCATTTGCCACTCAGTCATTTTAATGGGATTTTTCAGTTCTGCCTGAGTTTGCCTTGGCATCCATCCAAACTGATTGTGCAGCTCCACGTTCTTTATCAGCACAGTAAATGGGATGTGATTACTGTTCCTAGATCAAACACTGGACTAAAGGATCAGGCTTGAAACTGCAACATCCATTTCTTCTGAATATGGTGTTTTCTTCCGTTGTGCGGATGACAAATGCCTCATGCTGTGTGTACAGCTTTGTCTAACTTTTAAGCACTTGGCCCTTGTAGAAAAAGCTTCCAAGCAAGTCTTTCTTCACAATTTTGTGTTTTCGGGACTCATAAGCAAGTGACTGGATGAAGCTGCTGTTTTGAGATTCCAACACAGAACTGGTGTGAACACGCTCACTTTCTGTTCTGAGGCATGATCCTGTTACAAACTGGTCTTAGCTTTTTGCAAAATTCTTACAGGCTAGAGTGGATAAAAATTCTTAGCCCCGTGTTTATAATCCATTTTCATGCATTTTACATTAACAGGAGTTACTATTCTGCATTTCCTCTTCCTCTTACATCTCCCTGCAGCGTGTGGTAGTATAGGCAATTAATTGAATAAGATTGAAGACCTACACCAGCTCACCAAACTTTTGGTGTATTTTAAGAGCCGGATTTACCCCAAATAGTGTCCCACAAGACCAAAATATTTTATTTCTTGTCAAATAGGTCAAATAATTACGGAATTTTCTCTGTCACTGGTATTAGTAAGTTCTTCTTTCTTACTGTGCTGCTCATAATTTCAGAGAGAGAAAATGTGATTAAAGTCTACCTTTGTCAATGGTGCTAAAGCTTTATTTGCCTTGAGTTCAGAGAATAATGAGTCCCAAGAATCTTGCCACTATATAACAGCTAGTTTGCTCCTATGGTACTGCTGGGGCTGCTAATAGGAGACAGAGAAAGAATAACAAGGTGCTTCTAATGATCAAGTAGTTTCAAAATGGGCGTGAAGAAAGTGGTCACTTAACCCAGAGTTACGTAGTGATTTGCTCAGTTAACACGTGTGGCTAGTGCCGTCTGTCTGCAGTCTGCCTCCTCTTTCACAGTGTCTGCAGGAGAAGTGGCAATCTGTGCCGGTTTGTTTATAACCCTGTACGCAGACCACACCTCTCTCTGGGGCAGACCCAGGCTCTGGTAGGGCATGACCCACCTTAGCCCACCCAGGGGTTTGCTGGTGACTGCAGTGTGCTGGGGAGGGGGCAGCATGGAGAGTCACCGTGGTGTGCCTCTGTCCCATTGATCCGCTCCAACCCCAAAGAGCCCTGTGAGCCTGGCCCTGCTCTCTCCTTCCCTGCCTTCTTTTGGGTATTCCCCTCAAAATTTGGGCACATCTACAGTGAAGAGTAGAAGCTCTTCAAGGGGAAAATATATTTTCACTTCATATAGCAAGCAGCTTCTGTTGGAGGAGAGTGATTTTATATGGGCTAATGCTAATCAGAATAGGGTGAACAAAATATGAACTGCATTATTTTGCATTAGTAATTGGATGCCTTCCTCCTTGCCTGTTTCTGTTATGGTGTATTTTTGTTGACTTGCTGTACAAATTACAGCATCTAATCCTTCAAAACAATGTGTGGTTTTCCAAAGAATCATAAATCCATCATTGTCCATTGCAGCCTGACAGCAATTTTCCTCTTAATCTCAGAACTAGTGGGACTGGGATTTGGACCTGTCATATTACTCAATGTAAAGGAGCTGCTGAGAGTGCAACACTGTATTTCCACGGAGTATTATGTGCTCTGATTTAGAGAACCAGTTAAGGGCAGCATTTGCAATCCCTCTGCGTGTGCCATGCTGCCTATCCCTTTCTGTTTAATCACAGCCAGTGTAAACTGAGAAAAAACACTGTCTTACTGCTTAGAGCAAACAGTGATTCATGTTTTTTAAAAAGAGATGAGGGAAAGTATTTTTGTAAATGCTCTGGTTTGTCTGAAAACATGTGATGAATCTGAATGGTTGTCATTCTGTGTTGGAATTTTTTAAATATTAAATCTATTCAAACTGCTTTGTTGGTGGACCTTATGGTGCCAACTCCTTATAGTCAGGACAGTTATTCAGTCATCACTGTCATCATGTTTTTGAAGAGACTGTTTCCCTACAGAGCACTCTGGTCCTGATATAAGTCCTATCCTCATTCAGTTTTATGTGTACATAGAAAATCTATTGTGCATTTTGAGAAAACCATTATACCTGGATATTTGTCCTGAGTTAAAACTATTGTATACTATTTCAATACTCTGTTTTATTGAAGTATCACTATCTGTTCAGACCAGCCTGCAGCCTGCCTTCCTGGCTGCAGGACACTAAAGCCTCAGTACACAACTCTGAGCCCTCTCCTGCCCATCTTCCC